GGGATATGGGGGTCAGGATCCATCTAATGGCATGTATGTACATTCATTGTGGGGAAACTAGCCTAATCAAAAAATATAATATTTTCCTCCAAAATGCTGAACCACCCCGGCCCTTACCATTTCGACCTGAAATTGGTGTTTATTCAAATTATCACAATATTTGCCCCTACGCCCCTTTCAAAGGGATATGGGGGTCAGGATCCATCTAATGGCATGTATGTACATTCATTGTGGGGAAACTAGCCGAATTAAAAAAGATAATTTTTTCCTTCAAAATGCTGAACCACCCCGGCCCTTACAATTTCGGCCCGAAAGTTGTGATAATTCAAATTTTTACAATATTTGTTCCTACGCCCCTTTCAAAGGGATATGGGGGTCAGGATACATCTAATGGCATGTATGTACATTCATTGTGGGGAAACTAGCCTATTCAAAAAATATAATATTTTCCTCCAAAATGCTGAACCACCCCGGCCCTTACCATTTCGGCACGAAAGTTGTGATAATTCAAATTTTTACAATATTTGCCCCTACGCCCTTTTCAAAGGGATATGGGGGTCAAGATCCATCTAATGGCATGTAGGTACATTCATTGTGGAGAAACTAGCCTATTAAAAAAAAAATGTATTTTCCTCCAAAATCGTGAACCACCCCTGCCCTTACAATTTCGGCACGAAAGTTGTGATAATTCAAATTTTTACAATATTTGCCCCTACGCCCCTTTCAAAGGGATATGGGGGTCAGGATCCATGTAATGGCATGTATGTACATTCATTGTGGGGAAACTAGCCTATTAAAAAAAAAAAAAATTTTCCTCCAAAATGCTGAACCACCCCGGCCCTTACAATTTCGGCACGAAAGTTGTGGGTAAACTAGCCTATTAAAAAAAAAAAATATTTTCCTCCGAAATGCTGAACCACCCCGGCCCTTACAATTTCGGCACGAAAGTTGTGATAATTCAAATTTTTACAATATTTGCCCCTTCGCCCCTTTCAAAGGGATATGGGGGTCAGGATCCATCTAATGGCATGTATGTACATTCATTGTGGGGAAACTAGCCTATTCAAAAAATATAATATTTTCCTCCAAAATGCTGAACCACCCCGGCCCTTACATTTTCGGCACGAAAGTTGTGGGGAAACTAGCCTATTAAAAAAAAATAATATTTTCCTCCAAAATGCTGAACCACCCCGGCCCTTACAATTTCGGCACGAAAGTTGTGTTTATTCAAATTATCACAATATTTGCCCCTACGCCCCTTTCAAAGGGATATGGGGGTCAGGATCCATCTAATGGCATGTATGTACATTCATTGTGGGGAAACTAGCCTTATCAAAAAATATGTTTGTACATTCATTGTGGGGAAACTAGCCAAATTAAAAAAGAAAAATATTTTCCTTCAAAATGCTGAACCACCCCGGCCCTTACAATTTCGGCACGAAAGTTGTGATAATTCAAATTTTTACAATATTTGCCCCTTCGCCCCTTTCAAAGGGATATGGGGGTCAGGATCCATCTAATGGCATGTATGTACATTCATTGTGGGGAAACTAGCCTATTAAAAAAAAAAATTATTTTCCTCCAAAATGCTGAACCACCCCGGACCTTCTAATTTCGGCCCGAAAGTTGTGATAATTCAAATTTTTACAATATTTGCCCCTACGCCCCTTTCAAAGGGATATGGGGGTCAGGATCCATGTAATGGCATGTATGTACATTCATTGTGGGGAAACTAGCCTATTAAAAAAAAAAAATATTTTCCTCCAAAATGCTGAACCACCCCGGCCCTTACCATTTCGGCCTGAAATTGGTGTTTATTCAAATTATCACAATATTTGCCCCTACGCCCCTTTCAAAGGGATATGGGGGTCAGGATCCATCTAATGGCATGTATGTACATTCATTGTGGGGAAACTAGCCTAATCAAAAAATATAATTTTTTCCTTCAAAATGCTGAACCACTCCGGCCCTTACCATTTTGGCCTGAAATTGGTGTCTATTCAAATTATCACAATATTTGCCCCTATGCCCCTTTCAAAGGGATATGGGGGGTCAAGATCCATCTAATGGCATGTAGGTACATTCATTGTGGAGAAACTAGCCTATTAAAAAAAAAAAATTATTTTCCTCCAAAATCGTGAACCACCCCGGCCCTTACCATTTCGGCACGAAAGTTGTGATAATTCAAATTTTTACAATATTTGCCCCTACGCCCCTTTCAAAGGGATATGGGGGTCAGGATCCATCTAATGGCATGTATGGACATTCATTGTGGGGAAACTAACCTATTAAAAAAAATATATATTTTCCTCCAAAATGCTGAACCACCCCGGCCCTTCTAATTTCGGCCCGAAAGTTGTGATAATTCAAATTTTTACAATATTTGCCCCTACGCCCCTTCCAAAGGGATATGGGGGTCAGGATCCATCTAATGGCATGTTTGTACATTCATTGTGGGGAAACTAGCCTATTAAAAAAGAAAAATATTTTCCTTCAAAATGCTGAACCACCCCGGAACTTACAATTTCGGCACGAAAGTTGTGATAATTCAAATTTTTACAATATTTGCCCCTACGCCCCTTTCAAAGGGATATGGGGGTCAGGATCCATGTAATGGCATGTATGTACATTCATTGTGGGGAAACTAGCCTATTAAAAAAAAAAAAAAATTTCCTCCAAAATGCTGAACCACTCCGGCCCTTACAATTTCGGCACGAAAGTTGTGGGTAAACTAGCCTATTAAAAAAAAATAATATTTTCCTCCGAAATGCTGAACCACCCCGGCCCTTACAATTTCGGCACAAAAGTTGTGATAATTCAAATTTTTACAATATTTGCCCCTTCGCCCCTTTCAAAGGGATATGGGGGTCAGGATCCATCTAATGGCATGTATGTACATTCATTGTGGGGAAACTAGCCTATTAAAAAAGAAAATTATTTTCCTTCAAAATGCTGAACCACCCCGGCCCTTACAATTTCGGCACGAAAGTTGTGATAATTCAAATTTTTACAATATTTGCCCCTTCGCCCCTTTCAAAGGGATATGGGGGTCAGGATCCATGTAATGGCATGTATGTACATTCATTGTGGGGAAACTAGCCTATTAAAAAAAAAAAATATTTTCCTCCAAAATGCTGAACCACCCCGGCCCTTACAATTTCGGCACGAAAGTTGTGATAATTCAAATTTTTACAATATTTGCCCCTTCGCCCCTTTCAAAGGGATATGGGGGTCAGGATCCATCTAATGGCATGTATGTACATTCATTGTGGGGAAACTAGCCTATTCAAAAAATATAATATTTTCCTCCAAAATGCTGAACCACCCCGGCCCTTACATTTTCGGCACGAAAGTTGTGGGGAAACTAGCCTATTAAAAAAAAATAATATTTTCCTCCAAAATGCTGAACCACCCCGGCCCTTACAATTTCGGCACGAAAGTTGTGTTTATTCAAATTATCACAATATTTGCCCCTACGCCCCTTTCAAAGGGATATGGGGGTCAGGATCCATCTAATGGCATGTATGTACATTCATTGTGGGGAAACTAGCCTTATCAAAAAATATGTATGGACATTCATTGTGGGGAAACTAACCTATTAAAAACTAGATGGAATTTTGACTGCGCGCAGTCGAAAATGATGCCTCCGCCATAGAGCAATTTAAACAAGTTTGGAGTTTAAATCTCCAGTGGTTCTTGAGATATCATGATAACAATCTCAATGTATGGAATTTCATAAGTTGACCTCTGTGACCCTTGACCTTTGACCTACGTGCTCCAAAATCTAATCAGATTGTCTTCCTATGGTGATACACACTATCATTAAGTTTGAAGTTTAAATCTTCAGTGGTTCTTGAGATATTATGATATGGTGATACATACTATCATTAAGTTTGAAGTGAAAATTCTCCAGTGGTTCTTGAGATATCGCGATAACGATCTCAATGTATGGAATTTCATAAGTTGACCTCTGTGACCCTTGACCTTTGACCTACGTGCTCCAAAATCTTATCAGATTGTCTTCCTATGGTGATACACACTATCATTAAGTTTGAAGTTTAAATCTCCAGTGGTTCTTGAGATATTATGATAACAATCTCAATGTATGGAATTTCATAAGTTGACCTCTGTGACCCTTGACCTTTGACCTACGTGCTCCAAAATCTATTCAGATCGTCTTCCTATGGTGATACATACTATCCTTAAGTTTGAAGTTTTTACATCTCCAGTGGTTCTTGAGATATCATGATAACAATCTCAATGTATGAAATTTCATAAGTTGACCTCTATGACCCTTGACCTTTGACCTACGTGCTCCAAAATGTAATCAGATTGTTTTTCTATAGTGATACACACTATCACTAAGTTTGAAGTTTAAATCTCGAGTGGTTCTTGAGATATCATGATAACAATCTCAATGTATGGAATTTCATAAGTTGACCTCTGTGACCCTTGACCTTTGACATACGTGCTCCAAAATCTAATCAGATCGTTTTCCTATGGTGATACATATTATCCTTAAGTTTGAAGTTTAAATCTCAAATGGTTCTTGAGATATCGCGCTAACAAACTCAATACAAGGAATTTCATAAGTTGACCTCTGTGACCTGTGACCTTTGACCTACGTACTCCAAAATCTAATCAGATCGTCTTCCTATGGTGATAAATACTATTCCCGAGTCTTAAGTTTAAATCTTAAATGGTTCTTGAGATATTGTGATAACGGTCAAACGGGACGGACGTACGGACGTACAGACGTACGGACGTACGGACGGACAACCCGAAAACATGATGCCTCCGGCACCACCTTCGGTGGCGGAGGCATAAAAACAAACATGGATTTGTTATTATATGGCGTACGCATCCCTAATAAAATCACTCCCTTAATACAATATGCAATTTTAGAGCAAGCATCATGAGCATTCGACAGAGGCATATACAGGAGCTACCCAAGAACCCATCATCCTAACCGCAAAACAGGTTCGAGGCCAACTTCAAGTTAATCAATTTATGGTAATTTAGAGTAATGTAATAATGTGTTTATTCTGTCGGTCTCAATGGGGTGACAGAGGTATTACATAGTGACCATGTTCTGTATTACCTTTTTGGACAATGGTTCATGGCGGGAAGGCACTCTATCGACGTCATCATGTTCTTTCCCTTGGGTCCCTCTCTTGGTCTGTTTCTTTGCTTTCTTAGCCTCCTGTTCCTCTTCTGCATAGTAATACAGAGGGAGTTCCTCTTCTTCCGCCTCTTTGGAACTCTGGGATTTCCTTTTCTTTGGAGCATTGGCATTCTGCTGCAATCATCAACAATAAATCAAAGACTTTAGGCCACGTTTAAATGCAGACCAGGGCCATATCTTATAAAGACTGGCAATTGATCTGGATTGACTAGACGTCCTCCAACCAAATGCAGACTCAATCCTCTTTTTAATACAGTATTACAGTGGCCATTTCTTTTTATAAGTCACAACAGTCCCATGTCTTATCAACAGTGCTCAAGAGATTTTCTTTCCTTAGGAGCATTGGCATTACAGTATGTTGAAATCATCAACAGGAAAACACAAAGGCCAGGTTGACATCAAGAAATAGGCTGGTATCGAACCTTTTAGTCAAGATTCCTCTAGCTTCTGGTCATCCAAAAAGATGTATTGTTTCCTCTATGATATCTTGTACCACTGCAATTAATCAATCTTGTTTTTCCATCCGAGCTTACATCCACTGTAACTCATATTTAGATTAACTGGATAAGACACACACAAAATTAGCTCTGGTGTCTAGGCTTTTTAAGTGTTGAGACTTCTGTCTTTGTTCTGGTTACATTAATTACCTATGACCAAATATTTAATATTTCAAATAATCCTTCTACTTTTCCCTTTGGGTTAATAGAAGTAGCACCTGTTTCTATTGGGCAACGGCTTAATATTCATTACTAATTGACAAGACTGGCATGCAAAGTCCTACATTGGTTTACAAGTACCTTGACTTGGGGCTTGTGTCTGGGTTTCTTCACAGTGTCCAGGTTCTGTGTGAGCTTGGTTAGGCCGAAGACTTCCCGCCTTGACTTGGAGTAGGTGGACACCTTCTGTTTGGGTCTGTCGGCCAGCCAGCTACGTTCGCTGATGGCGTCTTCGATGAAGGATGCTGTGCAGCAGGAGCTCGTCTCCTCTCGGTACTCATAGATGTCTCTAGTTGGTTTCTGTGATGAATCAGTATGGTATTGAGGGGTCGGTGACACAAAGACGTAAATCTATTTTGGCCATTTTGAGAAAAAGTGGTTAATGTGTCACTAAGCACTTAGGCCTAAGTCTATGTTTCACTAGTCATTGACTTCAATAGGGTGTTGGGTGGAGTTAAGTCTGTGTTTCCTGGGAAGCCCACATTTTTCTGAACATTCTGATATCAAATACTCATTTGGGCAAAATATGGAGTTATGTCTTTGTGTCACTAAACCCTCGATTTAATCATCTTAGGCTCAGCTATGGCTGTTCTTTGGCAAGATTTTAATTGAAATTTCCCTCTCTCAACCGTGGTGTAGTAAGTGGGTAGGAAATTATTTCTTGTATACTTCAGCAATTCAGCACCTTGCGGTAGTTTGGCCTAAGCCTGGGTAATATCAGTACTTTTCATAGCACCTTCAGCATCCTCTGGGATGCCTCCATGTACATTTGTGCAATATAAATGTAGGCATTATAGTAGTTCTGAAAGAATATCACACACCCATATTAACCCCACTAAGGTCCCAAAGGATCATATGCATACTAATATTAAAATTGGCTTGTCTGCCCATGTGCAGATCATATCTACGAAGTGTTGCTTATTCACTGAATTGCACAACGTAGATGTACACCTACCTCACATGCTGTCTTCGTTGTAGATCTACCAGGTGTTTGAAGGTCAAGGTGATCATCAGAGCCACTATAGGAGCTATCAAAATAAAGAATGATGAAAAGGAAGCAAGTTGAAGTATAAGCCTTTCGGGACAATAATCCCACATTTTGTGGTTTGGCTCAATATCTTTTGATACAGAGCCCTAAAATGTATACCACATGAATGAGTAGAGAGAGCAAAATTTGTGCACACTGCATCCATTTTTCTTGTATCTGTGAACTATTGCATTTGATGCCAGGAATTTTTAAAAGAAAAATAAGCATTTAAATCCCTAAATTGGCCACACATCTAAATCATTATTTTCAATGAAATTTAGCAATTTCCTGAACTGCATAGAGATTGTTCTTAGAGACATTATATTTTAATAGAATAATGAAGCAATATAATAAAGAAAACATTATTGTTGCCAATTTGTAGACCATGTGACCAATTCATAGCCCATAAAATAAATCCTGTCCTGAAACAGTTAATGGAGATGCACTTCATCTCCTACACTCTTTTAGCTTTGATGAACCCATAATACTGAAAAAAGACGAGAAGCTTTGCAAGAATATTTGTGACTGGACATAATTCAAGAAAACATACTGTATTTCAACAAAATAACAGAAAATTCATGAAATAATCATTACTTATTTATTGCATATTTAAATGAGCGTTGGCTAAGCATTCCCTATCTTTACAAATACAATGGATGTAAACATTGACTTAACTTGCGAAGGTAAGAATAAGGTTTAAAGAAAGGCAAAGTTTCTCACTTTTCTGACTCTCTGTAATCAACTGTCTGTACATTTCTCCTTTTACGACCTGCGGCAATCCCTTTGCCAGATGATTTTAACAAGTCCTGGAAAAAATAAACAATATGTTTAATCAATAGATGTACTGTGAGTCTGTGGCCAATTTTACAATCACACAAACGTTCCATCTCTCTCTCTCTTATTATTTGTTGTACATATAGATGTATGCATAACTTTACCCCCCCCCCCCACCCCCCTCAGAAAAAAATGAATAATAATAATAACAATAATAAATAAACGAATTTTAGAAAATAATCAAAATTTATGACATAAATTATGCTTTTAAAAAAACTCATTTTGCGATGTATCAAATTTAATCAAAGATCCGTTTACTCCGATTGCTTGTAAGCTTCCTGTGAATTTCATTTGTGGATGGAATTTACTGGAAAAAAATTAGTTGGTGTTAGTCATCCAAGCCCAATGCAAGCTTCCAGGTCAAACAAAGCCAATATTCCACAAAAATTCAAAAATTCCAAGTACAAGTAACACGTACATGTATGTACTAAGTTCACATCTACTATAGATCTTTTGACTTTTCATGTAAAGAACATGCAGTAAATCTTCATATTTTATTAATATTTGTTTACAAGAAGTGTCTTAATACAAATGGTCCATCAGATATAAATATTAAAAGCATAATGAATGAAATACCAAGTACGTATATTATGTTTCAACCACACAATTACATAAGGCACATGTATACTTTGTTTTAAATGTTCGGCATGTACGTGTATGGGGAGTATTAAAAAACTGCTCTAAATGTATTAGGTCCCAATTTATCAAATGAAATTGTTTCTGTCATATCGTGCAATAAAAATATTAATAGCTACATACTATACATACATTGTATTTTTGCTAACTCCACATCTACTAAAGATAGTTATGAGGATTTTTTTTATTCTAACCCTGGTTCTGTCTACAAACAAACTTGCTACAAGAGTTTAAAGGGGTAAAATGCACTGAAGAACAGTCCATGTGTAAATACTTAAATATCATGTACTCATTCTCATTTTTGAGATCAAATTTGATTCCAAGCTTGAAACAGACGCATCAAGCGAAAGGAAAAACTTGCGCTATTAAGTTTAATGTACATCTTGATTTACATAGACAAAACGATCATAAATTTGATGATTAAAGATTAAGATCACAAACCTTGCACATGTTGCTGAAACTCGCCACTGATACAACGGTAGAGGTGTCGTCAGGAGAGGTGGTGGTTTCCGTTTCCATGATCTCTTCTGAATCCGACTCCTCAATCTGAGATCCAAAGTGTCTCCTGCTGTCCTTGGACACCTTCGCTGCTGACCTTTTCGTCTCGTCAAGTGCGGTGATCACTGTCTTGGGTTTGACCCATCCTGACCGTGCCTCTTCTAGGTCTACACTGTCCTTCATGCTTCTTCTGTTCTTGGCAGAATACATAGGGGTATCATCGATAGTGGTCTTTGGTTTCATGGTCTTGCTTTTCTGGGTGAAACTGTCCTTCTGCTGTTCAGATTTATCTCGCCTGGTCTTTTTTTTGGATGCTTGAATCTCTTCCAGGTCAGGTTCATAATCATACACGTCTCCATCATCTGATTGGTACAATCTGGGTTGATTGTCTTTTGATTGCCTTTCTTTGTGACCTGTCGAAGACTGAACCTTGGTCGTGGGAGCACGAGGAGTCTGATCCTCTGGGATGGAAGATACTGATGATTGCTTGGATCTTTTGCTTGTACCATCGGATGTGTGGGACACCTCCCTTTCTACAGATCTCTTTCCCTGTATCTTCTCTACTTCCTTATCTTGTTCAGTGTCACTCAGATCAACACTGCTGTGCTCCAAAGCCACAATCATCTTACTCCGTCTAGAGATACTGTCCTCTGCACGCCTCAGAACCTCATCATTCACTTCAAGCGCGTCCATACGTGAAACCATTCTTCTCTCTTTGACTCTATCCTCATCAGCTTTTCTTGGAGCACTCTCCTTCATGCCATCTGACCTGTTCGCTAAGATGCTCTCCATGTGTGCACTGACCATGTCGTCCACGCTTATCTCTCCTTCAGTAAGGCTCTCATCACCTTTTATAGATTCCCTACTAGCTCTTCTGGTGGTCTTTCTTGAAGACTTGTCCTCGGCTCCTTTAAGTACCTCTTTTCTTGAGGCATCAGCATGAGAATTTACTTTCTTCTTCAAAGGCTTTGAAGTTCCCTGTTCATCTCCTACTTCAGCATCCCGACTTTTTGACAGGGACTTCAAACTTCTATTTCTAGAATCTGAGAAGCTTCGCCTGTTACGATGATGAGAGTGTTCTTCGGCATCCTCTAGATCTTCCTTTTCTGCATGTGTTGCCTCTACATCTACCTCACCACCCCGAATCTTGTCCAACCTGTCAACGGTCTTATCTTCTCCATGGGTGGCATTCTTGAGGATATCCTTATTTCTCCTATGCTTAGGGAGGCTCTTCATGACAGACTTCACAAATGTAGAGATATTGGTGTCCTCATAAGCTTCAGTCACACGGGCTACATCTCTTGCGACCTCAACGTCAGGAAACTCCTCTTCCTGGTCTTGCATCCGACTAGCAAACTCTGCAAGCTCCTTTGTTTCTCTCTGAATGCGCTGAACATATGCATCATCACTGTCCAGTTTTCCTTTCATCTTTCTCCTGGAGGACTGACGAGGTTTCTCCGGTGCCATTAGATCATCATCTTCAGCCTCAGTAGTTTCCTGACGATGGTCCGACTCAGGTGACGTCTTCAGGCCCTTGGCGAATCGCTGGCTTTTACCTTGATCCCTGCTTTGACTCTTACTGTTCCCCTTGTTCTTGAATCCAAACGTGTGACTGTGGATCGCAAAATCATCCTGGCTGCTCTCTTCAACTCCCACATCTTGGCAAGCAGTCACAGGATGTCCACTTTTTCCCTTTTTGGCTCCAACTGCCTTTCCACCCTGCTTTTTCGCCGCTTTTGCACTACCTGCATCACCTCCACCACCCTTCGGAGGAGTCTTCCTCGAGACAACTGGTAAACTACTGACAGTAGAGGAATCTACAAAGTCATAGGGGTCTTTCTCGTCTTGATTCACGGAGGTAGAATCTGCTTTGGCAGTCTCCGGCTTGGTTCTACTCTTTATGACGATGGGCTCGGAGGCATCTTCTGACTGACTGGAAGTGTGAGGAGACTGAAAGCGTTTTCCTGTATTGCAAAAGGGAAAAATAAAAGCAAGAAAAGATTAGCATGCAATAAATGTTTATTAAACTATCAAGTATGTTTCATGATGTGCCAGAGCATGTTTTTAATGGAATTGTCAAATAAAAACCTCGATGTGCTTTCATAGAGAAACCTGTGTATCTGGTCAAGGCAGATGAAAAACATGTTCTTTCTAAAAAGCAGGTTGTCTTTATCTACAGGTTCCTTTCAAACACATTTCAGAGAAACAAGTTATTCAAAGGAAACAGACAATGGGGTCCTTGTCAACAGGAGGTCTTTCTATACAGGTAGTTGCTTTAATAGCAGGTTTCACTGTCTATGACACACAGATAGGGGAACGACAGACCCACAGCATACCCAACTACACAAAAGAGAAATGTGCACCCCTCCCCTCCCCTTTTTCAAATTTACTACCAAAAAGTCACTTGGAAAATGCGGTAACCTTTTTGTGTTGCTGTTGCTGTTGTTGTTGTATTGCTAGGTCATATTGTTAGATTACCCCCACCTCTCCCCTTACAAAAAATCTGGATCCCCCTTTGCTGCACATACCAAGTTTGGGCCCACTGCTGCCTTTACTCATTGTACTTTCCTCTGTGATGTCACTCAGCAAAGGACTTGGAAATCTGCCACTGACAAATAGAGATCATAAATATAATAGGCATACTGGAATCCGATGGCATATAATAACACTTCTTTATACATTTAACTTGTATATAATAGGGATTCAAGAACAGTGGACTTACATGTGATTTCAGCAATATTGAATCAATTTGTGATTGATCATTTTGATGATTCTAAAACCTTGAAACATATTTCTATTCTAATACACTACATAATCAACCTTTCATGCTAAATTCTTTAAACTTCTTTCACAAAACAATCACATGATCCTGGGCCCTGTCCTGTCTTATAAAGTGCAGCAGGTGATCTAGATTCTTATCTTATTCTTATTCAAAGTCTTATCTCTCGAGTACAGAGTTTCAGTTTATTTTAATTCACAATTGTTTGAGGTGCTCGCAAACTTAATTACAAGACAGGGCCCAGTACTAAACTCTATCTTACAGTTGTGTTCAAGGGGTTAATTTCAAGAAATACCTTCTTCTGAAGGAGTTTTTCTTTGGCTGAGAGTCTGGTATAATCTCCTCTTTGTCTTGAGAAGAGCCACATCTTTCTTCTGGAGCTGAGCTGGGGACACAGTACTCTGAAATAATCAAATAGTAAAAGTGGAGAGTGGCAAATGTAGATTGATGTCTTGCCAAAGGATATTAGTGCAGCGGCGAGACTTGAACTGCTAACCATGTGATCCACAGTCTGGTAACGTATCCACTAGACCATGGTATACATGTAGATATATTGACTGCTATGAGAGGCATGACCGTTTCTATAGGCTCAATGGGACGTTACATCCTGATATGACCGAGGCGCGGCATCTTTCTCATTAACTATTGACCGTTAGGCGGGCATGGCTCAAATCACGACTCCAATTTCGACCAATCAGATGACTGAATAGTACCAAAACTGAGTTCTTGGCCTTTTGTTCTTCTCCTATTGCCATCTGCAATACATATCAGAGGTACGGCTTAATGTAAAATGGTCAATTCATTCCTATCTCCCCTAAAATTACAGATCTTGGTGTAGCATTGATACTATGTTCAAATTGACCTCTCATGTAAACAATGTAGTCCGTAATTGTAATTATCATCTCCTCAATTTATGGAGTATTTCGTAGATTCATTGATTTCAAGACATGTCACCATGCTGTCCGAGCTCTAATTCTGTCTATAAACTGTTTTGTGTGCTATAGAAAGAAGGAAACTTGAAACTGTCCAGAATCGTGCCGCTAAATTAATCTTTGGCCTAGGGTCTAGAACTCATACCTCACCCTTACTTAAGGAGCAACCAACACATGTAGACTTATCATTTCCAAATCTAGACTTTCAACAGCTGAAAAACATTCTTGCAGTAGCTGCATCAAAGACTTGGAACAGCATCCCTCTTTCCATAAGGGAAATAACCTGTCTTGCCACCTTCAAAAGATCCTTCAAAACTTACCTATTTCCCCAGTGATCTACGTGATCTACTTCATGTGAGACTGTACATTTTTTGTCCTCTCTTCATATACATATATTTGTATTTGTAAGCACTATGGTACTTATTGTTTTTAGCGCTTCTAAATATTCAATATTATCATGACTACCGGTAGATTTATTCAACATACTAAAGAGAGGTATATAACACCTTCTTATGTCACTGCTGTTTCGAAAAAAATTTGTTAGGTGAATTATTTTGAGACATGCAAAAAAGATTTCAGGGTCATAAAACGCAAAGACCTAGAAAAAGAAGGAAGGTTGTCTTAATCTCTCTCAAATTACATTACAAGACCTTGAGAAGATATCAATTATGCCACCAAATAAAAGCCAAGTTTTAAATAGCAAGGTAGGAATTCATTAACAAGTATCAAATAATGCAATTACACACGCTCAGTGTATGAATTCTCTCTTAAAGGGATCCGGTAACTTTGTATTAGATCCTTTTTTTTTATCCTTGATTTAGCTCATGCTGCAATGATAATTATAAACTTTTAGGTCAGTCAAGAATCCCATGACTTTTACAAGCTGATCGCCTGTCTGATTATCAGGATTTTTATGATTGAAAATCTAAATCAAATTTTGTGTTTGCCAATTGGTTTTCATAACACTACAGTCTATTGTGGAAAACGAGTATGGTAAAAACCGTCCACTCACAGGTTTTTACTTTTTAGAGGCACTTTTTGATATTTTGAAGCGCAATTTTTTTAGGGCTTCAATATAACAACATATCACAGACACTGATAATACGTAGGGCCGTGCATTTTAGATTTAACATTGTTAAACGATCCCTTTAAACAGCAAAAGAGGAATTCATCATCGGGACGCTGAACATGGGGTTAGGTACCTCTCTTCATATACATGTATGTGTATTTGTAAGCACTATGGTACTTATTGTTTTTAGCGCTTCTAAATATTCAATATTATCATGACTACCGCTAGATTTATTCAACATACTAAAGAGAGGTATATAACACCTTCTTATGTCACTGCTGTTTGAAAAAATTTTGTTAGATGAATTATTTTGAGACATGCAAAAAAGATTTCAGGGTCATAAAACGCAAAGACCTAGAAAAAGAAGGAAGGTTGTCTTAATCTCTCTCAAATTACATTACAAGACCTTGAGAAGATATCAATTATGCCACCAAATAAAAGCCAAGTTTTAAATAGCAAGGTAGGAATTCATTAACGAGTATCAAATAATGCAATTACACACGCTCAGTGCATGAATTCTCTCTTAAAGAGATCCGGTAACTTTGTATTAGATCCTTTTTTTTTATCCTTGATTTAGCTCATGCTGCAATGATAATTATAAACTTTTAGGTCAGTCAAGAATCCCATGACTTTTACAAGCTGATCGCCTGTCTGATTATCAGGATTTTTATGATTGAAAATCTAAATCAAATTTTGTGTTTGCCAAATGGTTTTCATAACACTACAGTCTATTGTGGAAAACGAGTATGGTAAAAACCGTTCACTCATCACAGGTTTTTACTTTTTAGAGGCACTTTTTGATATTTTGAAGCGCAATTTTTTAAGGGCTTCAATATAACAACATATCACAGACACTGATAATACGTAGGGCCGTGCATCTTAGATTTAACATTGTTAAACGATCCCTTTAAACAGCAAAAGAGGAATTCATCATCGGGCCGCTGAACATGGGGTTAGGTACCCGCTTTCTCTATGAGATGCAAAAGTACAACTGCATAACTGGGTATCGGATAATGCTACTTAACATGCAACGAGTGTCTGCTATGTCTATTAAACATCAAAGAATGAATTTCAAACAGGTATCAGATTATGCAACTTAATATGTGAATGTGCTGATATGTAATTCTCTTACATGTAGACATCAAAGTTTGAATACGTTTTACTAAAAGTACGGGTATCATATCGTCGCTGTTTTCACAAAGTGACGGTAGTGAAAAAAAATTGCATTCACTTTGCGTGACGATATTCCTCACTACCTTCACTTCGTGAAAACAGGGACGATATTATGCCATTTATAAGTGAATGATATCTTATAATTGGATAATAAAGTATGATGAAAGACCGGGTAGTTGATTATGTTAATCAATATGCAATAAGTGCATGTGAATTTTCAAATAAGTTTTATCATGCATGGAATTCGGTTGGTTACTTTAAACTATCAGGTTCTTCTCAAACTTCCTTTTTTTTCTCAGCTATTACTGCTATTATTGTAGAAAAAAAGATGGCATACTGAAATGACTTTGTTATAGCAACCATCCCCTTTTCAATACATTAAGATTCTGATATACATGTACTACTATCAATAAGTAGTCAACAGTCATATCTTAAATTCTGAATTCTATGTTTAAATGGAAATCCAACCCTGATAGCAAACTACTCTAGAGGAAAGCAGAATAATCAGATATGTAGACTGGTGAATTTTGAACATAATCAGACAAAAAATGTAAGATTTATGATTTTTGTTGTTGTTGTAATTACTATAGGTATGGGCTTTTCAAATTGGCTACATAAAATTTTCAATTTGTCAAAAATGTTTGACTCAGGAGGATCTTTTCTCTTCAGAAGATATAAAATAATATGCTATCCGTTATATATTTTGAGAAGTGCCCCAGGGCAGAAAGCACTTAAAAGAAAAACCGAGAAATTGATGGTACCTGATGGGTACCTCTTTCAGGCAGATTTGTGCAACATGTAAGTAGAGAATTATGATTATGAATTTTACTATCTAAACAGGTAGAGGACCAATTAACAATAAGATGTGTTCCTGAATATGGAGAGTCTGCATTATGTGGATTATCCAGCATGAACAGCTCAAATTCAAAGAGGAAATCAAACAATTTTACATGTAAGTTTTGTAATGAAACGTTAAAAAGGCTGTTGAGAATTTTATGGATACCGGTAGCAAATATTCACTAAGTTTATTGTTAATTTGATACATATCTTTGTAAAACCCAAACAGCTATTAAACGCGACAGCTACATTTTTGTGAAGTGTCTAGAAACAGGGTTGTATAACACATGCTCCAGCGACAACTGCTCTGCAGTAATTTCCTGCATTACCCCCAAATTCCTGACTTCAACCCTGGACCTAACACTATACGTAATCCTGACCCTTACCTCACCCAATACTTTTGACATAAAGCCCAGAGAAGTTGCTGCTGGAACAAGTTTTGGGTCACTAGATACACAAACTACTCGTCCTAATAAATGAAAAATGCATATCTTGTATCTACCTGCATTTTCAGCTGCTAATGCCTTAGCAGCAGCCCTCTCGTCAATCTGTGGTAGGCAAGCTGTCAAATGCTCTTCCTCTTCAAGTGGGTCAGGGTTATACATCGAGTCACCAGAGGTCATCTTATCTTCTGTAAGGTCAATGACCCCACGAGTAGGCTTCCCCTTCACCGTCGCTTTTGGCACAATAAAGTCCTGCGACAGGTTGTCCTCTATCATGAGCGGTCCGGTGATGTCATTTCTGCCCTTCTTGGAAGCACCCTTTGGCTTCATCTGAGTACTTTCTACTTCCTTGTCAGACTTGTAGCGCTGATCTTCTGTAACCTGGAGATCTTCTTTCTCCTCTTTCTTCTTCCCTTTCTTGGTGCGCGCTCCTTTCCCTTTTGAAGTTGTAACCGCATGTTCTTCTGTCTCTCTGACTGTGTCAGATGCTTTATCACTCCCTCTTTTGGCTTTCGTCCCCTTCCCTCCCGTCTTGCTTCCGCTATTCATGTCCTCACTCTCAGAACTGTCCATCAGTAAGGATGTCTCTGAGTAGAGCTTGAACCTCTTCCCACGCCTGGATTTACTTTCAGGTTGCAATGGCTGAGACAAGCCACTAGCCTTGTCCGCACCATGTGCCTGGCTAGCTCTGGAGCTACGTGTTGTCCTCTTCGATCCCTCACTTGGTGGATTGGTGGCTGCTTTGCGACCCTTCTTTCTACCTTTAAACTGGTGACTCTCTAGACTTGCTTCACTGTCAAGGCTCTGGGACTGGGTATCTGGAATGTCGGTGATGTCTTGAGCTGCTACGGCAACTGCCTCACAGGAATCTTCTCTACTGCTTCTCTTGGACTGAGCTTGAGCTGTCTTCCCATCTTTTTTTGAAGCCTTTCCTAGATCCTTATTTTGTAACCCTTTCTTCTCTTTGGATGATTTTGCAGCAGAGCTGATCTTTGACTGATCCTCCAAGTCTCTATCTCCTTCTCCGGTCGTGACACCACTCTTACCTCTTCTCATCTTCTTCTGCACGGCACCTTCTTGTAGTATCCCAAGGGAAACGGCTCCGGCACCTTCCTGAGAGTCAGGCACAGGTCTTGGGGATTCCCCTTCTCCCTCACGCTGAACCACTGGTGAGTTGCAGATGACGATGTTCCTTGTAACAGAAACCTTGGCAGGAGTTGTTGATAAGGGCCTAGGGTGCTCTACATTGCAGTCTGTGCCAGAGGTGCTGGGTTTGTCGGCGACTGTTACCTGAAGGGGAGTCTTCACCTTCTTAGTGCTGCCATGGTGGCCTGTTGGTGTCCTATGCTGCGCAAAACCTGTACATGATGAAAACAAGAGTTTTAAGAGTGAGCTGTGGTTGGATTCAATGACCTTGCCTTACTATCAGTGCCAAACTTTTTATTTGTTATCCTTATTAAGAGTAGCGCTTGGATCTGACCTCTAACCTTCATAACAGAGCTGAGCTTAATATTTTTGATACACAATTCTTTTGCAATACTTTACTCTTCTCTTTTGAGCCTCGGTCACAAATGCCATTACGAACTGCTACGAACGCCGTACGAATGATTTTCAGACAATGGAAATTCAGGAAGACAATGGAAAAACGGAGATTCGTACAAAATTATCGTTCATACGAACCTTTGTGACCGTAGCATAAGTTAAAAATAAATAATCTAACAAGTAACAAGCACAAGGGTTTATTGCTTGTGACTTTGAAATTTCCTTTAAGTCAAATAGCAATCCAATTTACAAAAATAAGACTTTTCTTGGAGTAAAATAGCAATCCAATTTACAACAAAAAAAATTTCTTGGAGTAAACAAAACCATGCATTTCGATTTCTTATGGAAATATGAAAGAAGGTGGTTACCAAGAAAGTTTGTTCTTAAATGTTTGCATGTTCAATACTCTTCTATTTTTAATTAATCTACAGTGTTTCGTTCTTTCCAGTCTATTAAATTCAATAAATTAATATTTATCCATTTTGAAAAGTTCATATGAAATACTCTCAGTAACATAAACAAGCATGTGGAGGCCTTTAAACTATTTTTGTTTTCTATCCTCTAAAAGTTCGAGCTAGTCATCCATCGTTCAAAATGTTCAATGAGAGGCCAAGTACGACTTCTTGGTAACAATAAAATAATAATAATGCCCTGTCTATTTTTACTCACCCCTCATTTCCCAATTTGTCTTGTTCATTTTAGATTTGTGACAAACAACAATAGATTATTAAGTATCAGATAAATATATTAGATTTAGTAGATTTCAATAACTCTAAAAATATATTTAATGGTTCTAATCTATAGTTGAACCATGATCAGATATTGTGCTGGTAGATTCAGTATCAATGATTTGTATATGGACAGAGCATTTGACATAAAAGGGTCATATGAAGATCAACCTACAGTGCATGGGCGAATTTTTCTGAAGGGGGAGAGAGAGTGGAGAGGGGAGGCGAGGCGAGAGAGGAGAGGAGGGTTAGGGATGGGGGAATGTAAAGAGGTGGGGTGGGATGGAAAGGAAAGAGGAGGGGGAGGTGGGAAGGAGGAAGGGGAGGAAGGGGAAGAGGAGGAGGGGGAAGAGGAGGAGGAGAAAGAGGGGGAGGAGGAGGGGGAGAAGGAGGGAGAGGAAGAGGAAGAGGGAAGGAAGAAGAGGAGGGGGAAGAGGAGGGGGAAGAGGAGGTGAAAGAGGGTGGAGGGGAGGAGAAGGGGAAGAGGAGGGAGAGGAGAAGGGGAAGAGGAGGGGAAGAGGAAGGAAAAGAGGGTGGATGAGGGGAGGAGGATGAGGGGGGGAGGAGGAGAAGGAGGGGGAGGGAGAGGAGGGGGAGGCGAAGGGGAGGAGGGGGAGGCGGAGGGGGAGGAGATGGGGGAGGAGGAGGAGGGGGAGGAGATGGGGGAGGAGATGGGGGAGGAGGGGGAGGAGGAGGAGAAGGGGAAGGCGGAGGAGGGGAGAAGGGGGAGGAGGAGTGGGTGTCATCTGTTCATAATAAGCCTACCTTGCTTTGTTGCTTTGCTCTGAGGTGTCTTGTCTACCGACGGCACCCCGGAAGATGAAGAATGGAGGGATGTCCGGGTAGGTGTTATCATGGCAACCAGAGGTATTGATATCTTCCGTCTGACCGGAGTGGCCTTAGCCTCATTGGCATGTGAATCCTGAACAATAAATATTCATGTTTTAATTATCTAGCAAGCAAAGATTATTCAGATATTTTTTCATGTTTGGGGGAGAATGTCAATATGACATGGTCCTAACACTCCTATTAGATCCAAACAGCAATCACATCCTCTATTCACATTTAATCATTCAGATATCATACTATCTGTTTGGAGGCAGAAGAATGTTAACTCTTATACTTTTACACGGAGTAAACGCCCTTCTGGCTCTGCACAGACAATACATTCCCCCTTCTTATCCAAGACTTTACTGTAGTGAAAATATCTAGACTCATGTTTTGCCTTTTAAACACATTGGAAAATATTTCACACAAATTATTGTGCTGGGCAGGGATACCTTGCTTTTGCTAAAAATTAAAGGATAGTGCATTTAATCATTTTATTCATTAATCCAAGAAGATACCCCTGGGTCCTTCTCAGCGGAAATGTACATGGCAAACGCCCAAGGGGAAGACCAGCTAAGAGATGGACAAACTGTATCAAGTCGGACTGCAACAACAGACAACTTGACTCCCTAAGCTAACAGGCGTGGCATGCCGTGGTGAAACAGAAGCCATCAAACATCCCAGTGATGGTATGGACGGCTTAAGTCAAAGTAAGTCAAGTCATTATTTTTCTATTTCACTTCTTACCCCAGATGGTCTTGCAGCCTTCCCTGGTTGCGCTTCATGATTGGCTCCACCGTCTACGTAGCCATCGTTGAAGGACTGTGGCATGTTACTCAGCCCCCAGCTAGTGTTTCTAGCTCGGTTCACCAACACATTGATTTTACTCACAGAGCTCCTACGAGATGATGATGGTGTCTGTGGAAGAGAAACAACATGCAGTAAAGCTAAAACCTTGAAAAAGTAAATAAAGATTTACAATTGGAAGAGAAGAACAATCTACATCACTGACTCCAGCATCAACATAGTCATTGTTCAAGGACTGGGGCATATCACTCCGCCCCAAGCTAGTATTTTTTCTAGCATGGGTCACCAACACATTGATCTATACTCACTGAGCTCCTACGAGACGATGATGGTGTCTGTGAAAAAGAGACAGTGTCAATCAAAACCAAACCTTACAAAGATTTAGGATACGGTTGGTAAGATGTATAATTTAAAGAGGTCTTCACAGTTTAAGCTATCGACTCCTTATGTCTCATTGAGCTCTTACAAGATGATTATGATGGTGAAGTTTGTAAAGATAAATTACAGTCATATCTAATGTGTTGCACAAGTTGACCCTTTATGAGCAAAAGGGCAAATATCCCCTATTTTCATTCTTCATCATCATCATCATCATTTATCAAAGTCAGCATTTTCTCTTTTTAAACAAGGGGTTACTGACATTTGCACCATAATGACACTCAATCCCTCCACTTTTTCTTATCTCAAGCATCCTTCTCATTTAAATAGACCAACCTCAGTGCTTTCTTTCTTCACCATAACTTTCCATGATGACTTTGGTCTTCCTTTCCTTCCAGATCCCATGCTCTTTTCACAGGTTCATCATCTTCCCTTCTCAACACATGACCCATCCATCTCAATCCATTTCTCTTAAAACCACTTCCATCAGTTTCTTCCAGACCCAACCTTTCCATAAAGCTCACTTGTGTTCTTTCTATCGGACCATATACTATCGCTGTTCTAAACAAACTCATATCTAATGCATTGCACAAGTTAACCCTCTAGGTGCAAAGGGGCGATTATCATCATATCATTCATCAATCATTCAAAAACTTAAAACTTATCTATTCAGGGGGGTGTTTCACAAAGATCCTAAGTTGAACTTAACTCTAAGTTGGACTTTAAAATTATGGAGAACCATTTGTAGCCTTAAAAAAATATATATTCAAAAGAGAAAATTCTAATATTTTAAGACGTTTAATCAAGAACATAAAATCTTCTTGATAATAGAAAATATAAATGATTTTGATCAACATTTTATGCCTTTTAAAATAGCTTCTACAAAATACTTTCATAGATGCTAAAGCCTTTCCATAATTGTTAAGTCCAACTTCGCGTTAAGTTCGAATTTAGGATCTTTGTGAAACACCCCCCAGACTGTGTTAACAAAATTGTTACATAGCTAATCACGACTGCAAATGAGTAATTTAGAAGAGATATTGTGTCGTACAAAGCGATTCTTCTGTTAAAGATAAACTTGAGTTCTGGTAATGCGATTGCATTGTGAAAGAAAAGGTGTGGAATGGATCAGAAAAGTTGATCATATAGCATGTAAGTAATGGTGTGTAATGCAAGATTCTGGAGTCATCAAAATCATCATAAATTTGGCAGAGTCTTGGTAAAGTAACAATCACTTACACAGAAAGATGTATATGGGACAAAACACATGGTGTCGGGGCTAGTACTACCCTGATTTCCTTATCTTTCTATGCTCATTACTCAGCCAGTATACATTTTCTTCCAAAATTGTTTGGCACATGACATTTATTTGTAATCTTGAACATTCAGTGTAAGTTTCGTTAGATTCTGTGAGAATTCATTTTCTTTTTTTACCAGAACTCAAGTTTATCTTTAACCTGTGCCTATTGTTCTGTGGCAATCAAGCGATTATCCAAATCGGCATGCACTGATAACAAATGAAAAGTTACAGAATAAAAGGAACAACTGCCAGGAATTGATCGCTACAGCATATGCCTGTCCATAACCTCAAAATCAGATTACATTTGAAAGTACGTAGCACATCACATCTACCAGCATCAATACTGCCAAAGTGTTCGTAACCTGTAGATTAAAACATTCATATCCATCAAATCTAATGGACTGTAACTAAATTTAAAGGAAAAAAAACAGGTTGTTCGTATTTAAGGTTAGAGTGGGTTCATAAAGGCAAGAGCATTATAGCTAGTACTTTACTAAAAAGCAAACATGACATGATCTTGAACTTCACAGAGGATAGAACAAAATAAACAAGTACCGGGTAAACTTTTATTTAAAATATAGAAGAAATTAATGGGATTTTCGATTGTCACGTTGACATAGTGAACTGCGACATGACAACATCATTCCAAAGTTCTGCGCTTGCGCCACGATGTCTACCATGTTCACTACCTTTTCAGGAAAAGCCAAAACATAAATGTAAGCTAGAACCACCTGTAAGCATCAAAACAGGGTCACTTCTTTTTTAGGAGTGCTTTGTTTCCTGCAGAAATGCACTGGAACGGTTGAAAAAGAAGTAATTTTTCATTAAATGATCCTAATAAAGAACCATAAGATCCTTAGGAACGTCCTTGAAGGCTATCCCCAAACATAAAACTAATTAATTGTTAATTCATAGAATTTGGCAGATATCAAAAAGCAGTACAAAGATCATTAAGTTTTATTTTCTGTCTACAGGTAGTATCCCCAGGTCACAAAAAAGAGCATTTAATTACCTCGACTGGAGCAGCATTTTTCTCCAGTCCGATGGAGGTAGCCAGGGCGTCTGCCAGGTCTGTCCTGGGCTTGAATACGATCGTAGCCGTTCTGCTGTCCTTGCCACAGGAAGCGAGGATTGATGAAGGAGGCTCCGTTAGGTTGATGACAAGGTTCATGTGACCTTTCTCATCTTCTGCATGCAAAGCATTGTCAAAGACATCAGGTTAAGTTTTACTGCAGGACAAAAGCATGCATATAAAGCATTTGGTCTGCAGAAAGCAAAGAGAGCATGACAAGTTAATGCCCTTTTGACTCTCAGCAGACTTTGTTCAAACTGAAACCACATGAATCCCGCAAATTGTTTATTTTTCTTTCCTTTCATTCTTATTCTTTCCATTGAATGTTTATCTTGTTTTGTTTTCATTTTCTTCTGAACATGTATAATTAAGAGTACCATTATTTTTCCGTCTTGTACTGTCTTGTGTATTGAGGCAGCAGCCTTGGCTTGAATTCCTTACATGCTTTCTCTTGCTATCTTCAATAAATAAAGTTTGGGATTTTAATAAAATTGTCCAGTTTTTACCAGATCTATAGGCAGTTTAAACTGCTTTAAATGGTCAACAGGTCCATTTCACAGACGCTAATGTATTCGGTGAGAGCATGAACTACATCAATTCTGTAGAAAAGTGTATGAGTTAACACATTTTGGATCTCAACAGACTATAGAGCTTTACATCAACATATTCTTCATCCTGGAGAAAAAGCGCATAAATTAGGCAATCATTCACAGCCCCCAGGGACTTACCATTTACGAGGTACTCCTTGACTTTATCTTTGGAGAAGGTCACCGTTTCCCACAAACCACCCTCCTACAGAGAAAACAGATGATTTTCAAATATACAAAAACCACAGAATGCTGCGGAGGATCAATCAAATTATGTCACATAACTGAAGGTGAAGGTAATAGTAGTGATAAGGATGATGATATTGACGATGAGAAAGAATAAAACAATGACAATGATAACAACATCAACAACAACAAAAATACTTATTACAAAGCAGGAATCTATAATACGCAACATAACCACTCTGATGATGCTCAATGTAATGACAAATATACTTTGAAAAGGCTTACAATAATGCAGGTGTCATTTGTAAGACGCACCTTTTGACCCCCGGGGATGGTGCGTCATGGTTACGTCATGTTCCCCAAAATCGCGACGCACAGTACCGTCATGGCCGCAAAATGTCCGTCACAATACTGACCCATATGTGCGTCATAGTAAGTCACTTTACCACGTTGCGTCATTTGGTGTGTCAATGGGACCGTCACTTTCTCCAAGCAGAAGTGTTTCTCAAATGTGCGTCATTGGCTAGTCATTTTCATGAAATGGTGTGTCATATGTTTGACTCAAATGTGCGTCGATGGAATGTAATGGTGTGTCACTTTCTGTGACGGAAGGTGCGTCATGGTATCAAAATGTACGACTCACATCGGTACAATGACGCACCATTCCCGGGGGTCAAGAGGTGCGTCTTACAAATGACAAGTGCATAAAACAGAACAAAACGTATTTAGGATTAAATTTGTCTTTAGATGTGGTTTTAGTTTTCTACTAAAGCCATCTACATCTACATGTACATCACATGCTAATAATTATAGAACATTATAGCACCATATACCTCTTAGAATAATGTCTAAATGCATTTTTTGGTGAAAGGTTAAAAAAGAAATGAATGAAGCAAGGAGAGCTGCAAGACATTATCAGTGAGTACATGGAGAAAGCTATCTTAAAATGTAGAACGACTTTTCATTCTGGCTTTGATTGTGATTCTAGAAAGATTTCTTGCTATTTTATGTAATTAGACATTCTTAAAAGAAAAATTGTTGGAATCACAGCGTTTCGTTTATCCATACCTCTTCTGATCCTGTGTCTTCATCAGCTACATACATGGTGATAGACTGACTGACTGCATTGAAGTCTACCCAGAACTCACTCAGTTTATCTTCATTGGGGTTCCTTAACTATCATACAATACAAAATAAAGGTATCAAATTTACTTCCCTAATCTTAAATAATACCACTCTACTCAACCAGTTGAATAGACTTTTTCATCATTGCTTAATAAATGGCTTTGCCACTTACAACTATTTAAAGTACCTGCATATAATAAACTTCACCAACCAAACTGTCAAAAGCAACTGTCATGAATAAAAAACTAATCAATTGCACAATCAAATTATAATCAACTGTTAACCATTGTAATGGGTTGTGCGATTGATCTTATCAAATTACACCAACTGTCAATTCACATGTAATGTAATTCCATTTTCTCCAAAATCGCCTGTTTGTCTGGTCTATAAGATACAAGTCCCTTCTCCCGTTGCATAAAACAAACTTACCATTGATGGTAACTTTGCTATCGATAATAACTACCATACAACATTCAACAGCCAATCAAGTCAATGTTTCCATGGAAGTTAACATCACTGCTAAGTGTTATGTAACAGGGCCCTGGGGGTGTTTTACAAAGATTCTAAGTCGAACTTAACTCAAAGTTGGACTTTAAAATTATGGAGAGCCATTTGTAGCCTTAAAATACTATATATTCAAAGCAAAAATTTGAGTATTTTAGACTTCTTATTTAAATTCCACATCAAGAATATGAAATCTCCTTGATAATAGAAAATATAATGATTTGAATCTACATTTTATGCCTTTTATAATAACTTTTATAGAACTATTTTCATAGATGCCGCTAACGGCTTTCCATAATTTTTAAGTCCAACTTAGGGATAAGTTCAATCTTTGTGCAACACCCCCCTGTACTGTAATTTTTTCCCTGGGGAAAGTTAAGAGCAAAGTTTACTCACCTCATAATCTCCCAAGAATGCTTTCTTACATGAGTAAGAATAAACACTGTAAAATGAGAAGATGAAGGAAGGAAAAATAATTTATACAGAAGGACAAAAATATTTAAGATTCATACAAGCGTGTAAAGTGTCATATAATTTAAAGAAAAATATATGCATTGCTTTATAATTCCCTCTGCCCCCCCCCCCCCCCCCCTCTATAACATAAATTATTCTTAATCATACAGATCTGGGTCGTGTAGGTTTGATCAATAAACGATGAGCCATAGACTTTTAAAGCTCAATATTAACCTTACAATCAATCAAAAGACTTCATAATACACGCCCCTGCTCAGTACAATAAAACTGCTCTTTATGAAAGCTTTAGAATGCATTACTCAACACAAATTATATGGTTAAGGGTTCCATACATTGAGATGATTCAATTTCACTATAAATTGAGATAAAAATAAAATACAATGAAACCTAATATATCGTCCTTGTTTTCACGAAGTGACGGTAGTGAGGAAAATCGTCACGCAAAGTGAATGCAATTTGTTTTCACTCCCGTCACTTCGTGAAAACAGCGACGATATGTTTAATTTTCGTAACATTAATATATTTATTTACAATAAATGATTTGTAATCTCACCTTCTACCTAGGCAACTTTTATTCAAGAGGTTCAGAAATATGCGGCAGTCCTATAAAACAATAAAAACAAAATATTGTCACAAGCAGTTCAAATACAGAAATCAAGGGATCTTTAGCTCGATATGATAAACTAAGGGTTGATCATTTGGTGCGTTTAACATCCGTTTTCTGGCCTAAAATCAGCGTTTTCAAACATGTTTCAGGCAAATTTACATGTTGATAAACGCAAGCCTGTTTTCAAACGTCTTTAGATATGGGTATATTGAAACGCTGAAAAAAGTGTGTTTTGAATGTGAGAACGAGTCAGAATCACGTTTCTGAGAGATGATAAACGCAAAGCTGTTTTGAAACACACATACATATCAGACCTTCCCAGTCTAATTCCGGTTCAGAGAAATAGCGTGCACTATGTGCTGTGGCCTAGTTGACGCAAAGCAGTTGCGCAGAGACAAGGCCTTTATTTTGAATTGTGACGAGTTGATAAACGCGACATCCCACAAATCACGTTCGTATAGCGGGACTCGATATGTATGTATAGAAACGCCGTTTCTTAGTTGCAAAAGATGATAATCGCACCCATGGATACATCATGGCTTCATAGAACTGATGTCTTGCGAACACAGAATCAGATGCACTTTTTTTATATGCTCAATGGAAGGAGCTACATTAAGTTTGCACAGATACAAATCAAAGATATGATGAAACATATCAACCTATTGATAATAATGAATCTTACTGAATCAAACTGCTGGTCATCGATGGCTAAAAAGGCTTCACCGATGGTCCCTGAAGGAAACCATGCAGGAGACCTTCTCTTCCGTTCACTTTTGGTCACCATCCTTGCTAAGGATTCCGTGACTGCAATCTGCATCTCAAAGTCACCCGCTACTGGTAGAAATTCAGCTAGACGCTGCCTATATACAGTGAGATGTAAACATAGAAGAGTTGTCGAAAAAGGCAAAGAATTATATGTTGTGGTCGAGTGGATATGTCACCGGACTGGATCACAAGATCCCCGGTTCAGGTCTCGCCGCGGCACTAATGTCCTTTGGCAAGACATTGATCTACATTTTCCACTCTCCACCCAGGTGTTAAATGGGTACCCGGTAGGATGCGAAAGTTAATGTGGTTGGATTAGCAAGTGGCGCTTGTAAAATGGCGACTGGCTGGAATGCTCCCCAGGTAGTGGAAAAATGTGCATACATTGTGTTGCGGGTAAGCCTGAAACCGATGACCGGGGTAATAATATGTGCTGCGCCTAGAAACAAAGTATTAGGCGCATTACAAAAGAAGTTGCTTATACTTTAAATTGACTTACCTGGTTTACTGTTTGGTAATATCCAAAACTACAGTATTACAGTGACAGATTTAAGAATACACAGTCCAGACGCATATATGCTGTTAGGTTTTGGCAAGTTCTTTTGGAACATTCAACATTGTCAATGCCATGGTGATGAGATACCATATCCTTACATCAATGAAAGATAACCGTCATAATAAGTGCTCTTTCTACAAAGAAAAGCTCTGAAAATTTTTTAATAATTCAAAATAGAGATGTGATATGGAATACGATATAGATATGCAATTGAATTAATTAGCTTGTAACATTGTTGATGCCACAGTGAGTTATCCAGGGGTGTTAGTGAGCACTAAATTTTTGTTTTAAGTTGTTTTTTTCCTTCAACCACGCCCCCCTTGAGTAAAAAAAAAATTGGGAATAATAGGGGAAAATAGGGAAAAATAGAGAAAATAAGGGGAAAATAGGGAAAATCAGGATAAAAGCGGGAAGAAAAATAAAAATCAGGAAAAAATCAGGAAAAAAAAATTGCGAAACTGATTTAAATCAGGTTTTTATCAAGCCTGGCTTTCATATTTCCTTACATAAGCCTTGCTATGACGGGATCTTCGCCGACCCAGGTCAAGTCTTCATCTTCACATCCTTCTAGCAACAGGTTCAAGGTCCTCTCCGCCTATGAATATGAATCGAGAACAAACAACCTTGCTTTAGTGACCACCTGTCTATAAAGACCACTTTTTTTGGTTTCCCTCGAGCAGAGTTTCTAATTGAAATCTATACTAAAGGAAGCTACATTTAAAGACCACCTGCTCATATCCCTTGTCTCCTTTGAGTGGTCTTTATATACAGATTTCACTGTATCAAATTATTCTATTCATATTTCTTCAACAAATAGTTAACTAATCACGGTAGAGGTTTACGGTACACCATGTGTAAAGTCCTAGAAGGACTAAGGAAAGTGGATAGAAAATAGAAGTGAAAATAGAAAGGCGAGAAAGTGGAGGTTGGAAGGAAGAGTATCTTTCAGAAGTGAGTATAGTCCTGAAAAGGACTGTAAACCAGAAAGTTGTAGATAGGATGAGAGGTTTGAGTAGAAGACTGGATTGAGTTGGAGAGTTGAGTAGAGTTGCAGAGCAGGAGCAGGAGAGTAGACTCGACGTTTCGGACAGGTTTACAGTCCTTTTCAGGACTATACTCACTTATGAAAGATACTCTTCCTTCCAACCTCCACTTTCTCGCCTTTCTATTTTCACTTCTATTTTCTATCCACTTTCCTTAGTCCTTCTAGGACTTTACACATGGTGTACCGTAAACCTCTACCGTGATTATTCATACCACCATGCAAACCTTCAAACATCATCAAATAGTTAACTCTTTAAATGCCACAAAAATAACCTACACTGTACTACATTGCATTCATCATGGGATAGATACCACAGGTTTCAAGATTATTTAACTTTTTGCAGTGCATGATTGATTTATATTGGTGTTAAAAGGGTTGTCATGGTTTATTAATTGTGCATTAATACCTGTAATACAGAGCATTAATGAATTGAACTAAGTTTCAGTGAAATATATGAGGACTAACTTAATGAAATATGTAAAACTATTAAATAAAATAAAGTTTTTGGTTTTTCACTCATAAAGAATGATCAGGTTTTCATCATTAATCACGAATTGTCGATACAGTTGAAATCTTTACCTCCATTCTTGTATGGAAAATTATTTTACTGTTGATAACAAGCTTGATCAATCTTGCACAAAAGGCTTCCACTGTTAATTTTCTTGCTGCTCCACTGTATTCAGCAACATCCTATAAAAACAAAATGAAGATGGGAGGGCTGACATTAACTGTATGATCACTGAAGTAAATACATGTACATGCAGGATTGTTTTGTTTTTATAGGATGTTTGTTCAATCACAAAAGTCATAAATAAATATACACTTCACCACTGCACTATATATACACAAATATTTCAGAACTGTAATCTATGATGAAATGCTGTTGACATAATTATGTAAAAGCACTAAAAACTATGATTGCATTTCACATTATTTTGTTGTAAAATCCATTGGAGAAAGATAAAAATTTCCATTTACTAATTAAGATACATTTCCAAAGGTTTTTTTAAGCTGTTCAGAGTGAATAGCTATAGTAGTGAGAACTGGTAATTGCAATACAGTTGCCATGGCTGAAAATTCTGTTTGTGGTGTTTAAAAAGGCAAGTAGATTGGTTGTTTGTAAGAGGAACATGGAACAAATCAAAACTCACAGGCTTATAAGACTGGCTTAATAACATATTTAAATTGTATGCATACTTTTAAAGAAAAGTTGTTGTTGACAATCTGAAAACTTGAATGAGGCTTGCCCAATATAGCAAGAAATAAATTTATGCAGACTGATTTCAAGTTGTAGTTCATTCATTTATAACAGGTTAATTATTGAATTATATGTCACTAGGTCCCTGGGAAAGAAAAATCCATAAATTTCCATACATGTATGTTAGTACCCAGGCCTATTCTCTAAAAACATATGGTCTAGTGTTCCAGATGTAGTGGTGGAGATGACTAGTTAAAAACCCTTTTCTTTCTGTGCTCATTAATCATTCACATAATACATTTCTACCCAATGTAGAAATGTATTATGTATTTGTTGCCTTGGAGATGAAATATGGAATAAACTCACTAGATCAAAAATGCATGTAAGTACACGATGGCTTAATCAGATGATCATTTAAACATGCATTTATGATGGGTTTAATACAAACATATTTTGAGCTTAAAAATGAAAGGACCTTTTGAAGAAGCTCACTTTATCAAAGCATTTACTCACACTGATTACTACATTACCATTCGATTCCAAAGTTATTAAAACTGTTTGAAACAAGTACTGACATTGATAGTTTCAAACAAAACTACCATCAAAAGATCATTTAATCTGTTAAGAGTCGGAAGGGCTTTTTACCCTGTACAATTAGCTTGTTTTATATTTTAAATATTCATTATTATTATCAATTTTGTTATAAACTGGTCAATTTTTTAGATACACATACCCTTTTAATTTTGAAGTTACCTGCAATCATTATTAAATATTGTACTCATGAGCATACTTTAATTTATATTAAAATGTGTAATAATTTGATTGTAGCACATTGTTATTCATACATTTATTTAACTAGACCAGACCTGTCAACCTCTGGAGTTCAAAAACTGTATTCTTTAATCTCAAAAGTTGTATTTTACGGAAAAAGTTGTATTCTTAAAAATAAACACGGACTGTTACACGGATCAATGCGTCTTACAGTTCCTATACATACAGGAAGAATTTTTTTAGTGGATCATTGGTTGAATATGCATGATTTCGTCACGACTGTCGGTTCGATAAACCAATGAACATCCCCAAATTGCAGATGTGAGATGCTTGAAGGATACTTTACAGGACAGAATGGGCATTTTGCCATTGAAAATGGCACACACACACAGAAAATTTAAAATTAAAAAAAAATATAAAAAATAAAAAGTTTAAAATTTTTTGTTTAAAGTTTGTTTGTTTTGTTTTGAAAATCGTATTTTATTGAGGAAAATCGTACTGTCGTATTTGTTTCTAAAAATCGTACAAAGTACGACTAAATCGTACTGGTTGGCAGGTCTACTAGACCTGATATTTTTTTTGACCGTGTACATTATTTCTACCACTGGTATCTATCTCTTTGCATTTTAATTTTTATTTGAAAGCCAAACCCCAAGTTTTGGTTGCAGTAAAGAAATAATGATAACAAGAAGCTGAGCCTCTGTGCATACTCTGTAGATCAGGGGGGGGGGGTGTTTCACAAAGATCCTAAGTCAAACTTAACTCTGAATTAGACTTCAAAATTGTGGAGAGCCATTTGTAGCCTAAAAATAAAATATAGTCAATAGTGAAAATTAAAATATTTCAGACTTTTTATAGATTCCACATAACGAACGTGGAATCTCCTTGATAATAGAAATCATGAATAATTTGAATCAACATTTTATGCCTTTTAAAATAACTTTAAAAAAAAAAAATTCATATATGTTAAAAGCTTTCCATAATTGTTAAGTCCAACTTAGGATCTTTGTAAAACACCCCCCCCCCCCCAGTGAAATACTCACATTGATAGTTTCGAACAAGACTTCCATCAAATGATCGGCTTCGGGACGAGCTTCTCTTCCATTCTGGGAAACATGTCTCTTGGTCTCTTCAAACACAAACACTGAAACCAAAACAGTGCATTGTAAAATAACTTGCACTTTTAAGAGTTATAGTAGATATTTTGAATGAAAGTGCCAGTTCGATTTTCTTCACTATTAAAATGAAATTTAGAAAATAGGCATTTAAACAGTCACAAAAGTCTTAGCCATTTAATAGCTACTAGGAGTATAAAACATGTATTTACCAGAAGTAAAGATAATTTATTTACCTGTAGTAAAACAAGAAATCAAGACAAGGCTATTACTGGTAAAGTTTATATACAATGTTTGATCTTGTAATCTGAATGTTTTCATTTCCAATGGTACACATGAAATCTAATCACAGTCAGTATTTTTTTTATTATTTAGAAGTTTTCTCTTCTTTTTTCCTGTGGTCTGTTGAGACTCGAGAGCCAGAAAAACATTAATTCTGTGTTCAGCTGTACCTCTCAAGGAGAATTCTCGCTACCCTAAATAGGTACGAAAATCTCGAAATTCGCGAGACGAGGTAATTTTCACTCTCTCGGGTCGTCACTACAACTTCCGGTATAGAGTCCCATCCCGCTGGCGCTAGCGCCTGTGTTCGCTGTGCAGAGTTTTCACGCACGCTAAAATCGATGCCAATCAGTGTAATTTGTACAGATTATAATATGCAATGGAAAGCTTCGGGCAGAATTAGTGACTTTAGCACAAAAGGCCGTTATACTCTACCGTGAAAGAGAGGGTTGTGATCACGAACGCCTGCACAGGAAGCTGTAATGTCGAAAAGCTATCCCATAATGCAATGCGCGTTTTCAGGATTTTCCCCGGATCTCGGCAGAATCGCTATTTGGGGTAGCGAGAATTCAACACCATTCGTGTGTTTACCCAATAATGGGTGTTGTCAATCACCAGGATTAGCATTCAGTTTTATGACCAACAAGATTTATGTATAAGGCCTAAAATAAAAACTTGTTGTATTTCCCTCTGGGTGCCAAAACATGGGTCGGTCGGTCGAATTTTTTATTTTTTTTTGCCCTCTTTGGGCCGATTTTTTTCAGATTTGAATTTTTGGGCTGATATTTCTCAGATTTTAATCATTCCAAGTTGATATCTTTTTCACCTCATAATTATCCATGGTTTGCACGAGTGAGAATTTTGGAATAGTTTGATTGTATGCATTTATATCCCATTTAAACAAACAAAATAGAATTTTTTTTATTCATTAATAAAAGAAAATCTAAAAAACGGTTAAATTAAAAAAAACTTTTTTTAAATGCCGACCATAGATTTTCAGATTTTTGGGTCGGTCGCAAAGGGCAATACAACAAGTTTTTATTTTAGGCCTAATGCTCTACATTTTCCACCGATCTCTTCATATCATATCATTATCTTACATTTCC